CTGATGATGATGATGATGATGATGATGATGATGATGATGATGATGATGATGCTGCTGCTGCTGATGATGATGATGATGATGATGATGATGATCATGTTGATGATGCTGATGATGATGATGGCGATGCTGAAGATGCTGCTGATGTCGTGATGATGCTGAGGAGGTGGAGGAGGATGAAATGATGATGATGGTGGCGATAACGGCGATGATGATGGCGATGATGGTGATGATGACGATGATGACGATGATGACGACGACGATGATGACGATGACGATGACGACGATGATGGTGACGATGATGACGATGATGATGATGATGATGATGATGACGGGAGGAGGGAGGAGGGGGGAGGAGGAGGAGAGGAGAGGAGACGCGGGGCACCGTCTCTTCAAAACGAGGACCCAACACCACAGGATGGTTGGGAAAAAATCACAAAGTCCGAGCTTGTCCCAGCCTCCCGCTTTTCGGAGCGGAGCGACACCCCTTTGCAAGGCATGGCGTGGCGCCGGGGCCGCCGCCGCGACACGCTGAGCACAGGTTCCCGACCGCATGAAGTGTTTCGTCTCTCTGCGAGAAGCCTCTCGTAAGTTAACGAGACCCAGATCATTTCCCAAGGCACGGGACCCCGCCCCTCGAGCCTCGATCCTCGCTCCGGACGTCCCCCCGAGGCCTCTCGCCAGCTCCGCCGGAGGCCAAGTTCGGGGAGGGGACTTCAGAAACCTCGATCCTCGGACCTCGATCCCCCTCGATCCTCGACCCTCATCCAGGTGGAGGAGGAGGAGGAGGAGGAGGAGGAGGAGGAGGGGCACTAATGCTTCAGTTTCGTTGTCTAAGTCCGCCCAACGCAACAAGGAGGAGGGGAAGTCGGAGGAGGAGTCAGAGAAGGAGAAGGAATGAGGAGGAGGAAGAAGAGGAGGAGGAGGAGGAGGAAGAGGAGGGGGAGGAAGAGGACGAGGAGGTGGAGGAGGATGAGGACGAGGTTCCGCAGGAGGAGGAGGAGGAGGAGGAGGAGGAGGAGGAGGAGGGGGATGATGATGATGATGATGATGATGATGATGATGATGATGATGATGATGATGATGGAGATGTGAGGGTTGTGATGATGATGATGATGTTGATGATGCTGATGCTAGCTGATGATGATGATGATGTTGTTGATGATGATGATGATGATATGCTGATGCTGATGTGCGTGCTGCTGATTGGTGATGAATGATGATGATGATGGGATGTTGCTGTTGTCGACGGTGAAGATGTGGACTGTGGTGATGCTGATGCTGATGCTGATGCTGTTGTGATGGCTGATGCTGATGCTATGGTGATGATGATGCTGATGATGATGATGTGATGATGATGATGATGTAGGAGGAGGAGGAGGAGGGTGGAGGAGGAGGAGGGATGGAGGAAGGAGCAGGGGAAGGAGGGGGGGGGGAGGAGGGGGTGAAGAGAGGAAGATGAATGAGGAGGAGGACGACGAGGAGAAGGAGGAGGAGGAGGAGGAGGAGGAGGTGGAGGTGGAGAGATAGGAAGAGGAGGAGGGAGGAGGCGTAGGGGGAGGAGGTCGGTGGGAGGAGGAGGAGGAGGATGGAGGGAGAAGGAGGAGGAGGAGGAGGAGTAGGGAAGGAGGTGGAGGTGGAGGAGGTGGTGGAGGAGGAGGAGGAGGAGGAGGAGGAGGTGGGTGGGAGGGAGGGGGAGGACGGGGAGGGGTGAAAGCGCGGAGGAGGGGGAGAAGGAAGATGATGAGGAGGACGACGACGACGACGCGAAAGTGGGGGAGGAGGAGGCTGAGGATGAGGAGGAGGAGGAGGAGGAGGAGGAGGAGAAGGAGGAGGAGAAGGCGGCGGTGGAGGGGCGGATGATGCGCAGTCGGAGGATGTGCAGGAGGTGGAGGCGGAGGCGGAGGCGGAGGAGGCGGAGGAGGAGGATGAGAAGGAAGGTGCGGGCCGATTGCCTGGCCTGCGCCAGCGCCAGCGCGACGCCCTCATGTGGGCGTGCGCGTAACTAAAGAGATATCTCCGATCCCATGTAGAAGCCATCACACTCCGGAGATGGGTTGTGTTGCTTCTACTCGTCATCGGCGTGCTACTGTTGTGCCATATCAGGCTAACTCCCTCCATCGATCGCACCGTTCTTCGACAATGTGAACCCATCGGGAAGCACTCGGAATGATAGGCTACGCCGCAAGGTCTCATTACAGTATCCTGTCAACTGCTGGCCTCGAGCTTGTATCAGAGAGTTTCTCGTCGCAGTTCCGCAAGAAGAGCGTGCTTACAACAAGCATCCGGGCTACGTGGCAGTGGAACAAAAAACCAACAGTGATCCTTCAGGCTGCATGCGTCAATGAACACACTTTGCAGTTGTCTTTTGCCCCGCCGGTCGTCAGCCCTCCGCTTTCTCTTCGAGTGCCAGAGCCACCTTCTCCGCCGGCCGTGCCCGCAGATATATTCCGCAGGATCCAGCAGTTTTGAAACAGGACAAGCATGCCGGCCAATACGCGAACGTTGACGCATGTGTTATTTCAATTGTTGCGACACAAACATGCGTCACCGCGTTTGAGAGGTAACGGCGGCACCAGCGGAGCCGGCAGCAGCTAGCGTGGAGGTGCAAGTTGCCGCAGACGCCGGCGAGGCGATTGCCGCTCCAGTGGAGGCGGCAGTGTGACCAGCGACCAGCCAGAGCCAGTGCCCGACGCCATGGCGAAGCAAACAGCAAGGCAGCACACCAAGAATGATGCAGAGGAGGAGGCGGTGGCCACGCCAGAGGACAAAGCAAAACACGAGATTTAGGCCAACGTGGAACACGACGAAATGTGGTAAAGACGGCAGCCAGACTTCTAAATCCGGGAGAAAGGTAAGCTTGGTGCACCTCCAAAGCAAGAGAGCAATCAACGGTACAAAGGATACGCTTGGCAATTTAGATCCATTCACCTGGCGGTGGCAAGTCATTGCCAGGAGCGCCACGGCACGCGTCAAGTATGACAACATCGAGATATTGCATAGATCGAGGTCGCAGTTCTTTCGATGATTTTAAGCAGGCGGCCGTCATATTTGAATGCCTATGCACCGTTCATCGAGCGAGTCTTTTGCCACACTTGGGAAAGAGGTAACTAATGATATCGGAGATGTTGAGCATATGTTCATGGATACTTGCGCGGACGAAAGCAATTTGACATAGAACGACGACGCTGCGTCTGTGTTCGCGGCTTGTTTCCAACGCCGCATTGAGGAAACGGTGCTCACGACCACCCATCGCTCAAACAGGTACGTGTGCAGGCCAGTAGAAGCCATTGGGGAGGGAGGTGGAGGTGATATTTAATTCGGTGGTGGGTCCGAAGGAGATGCTACTAACTTGACCCTTGGTGAGGGAGGGCAGCCTTTTAATAAAGAGACCCTCGGTGAGGGCAGTCTGCCAATGAAGACCCTCGGTGATGGCACTGGCCCAGCAGTGCCGCACTTTCATCGCCTCGTCGCCCATATCATTATCACATCCTCTTCATCGTTCTCTTCTTTCCCGTTCTTATCGCCATCAGCTTGTGAAGCTGCAAGGGGCACAATTTTCCGCGCATTCATTTTTGGTGCTGGAGGAGGCGGAGGTGGTGGAGGTGTAAGGGCGAGGAGTGATAGCGGAGGCGGAGGAGTTACTACTGATTTGATGCTCGATGGGGGCAGCCTTACAGTAAAGAAGCCCTCGGTGAGGGCAGTCTGCCAGCAACGACCCTTGGTGAGGGCGCCGACCCAGCAGTGCCGCGCTTTCAGTATCGCTTCTATCATCGCCATCATCACCATCTCCGTCCTTACCGCCGTCAGCATAGATGGCCCCAAGGGACACCATGTCCCGCGCGCTCGCGTTTTGTGCCCGAGGAGGTGCAGGTGATGGAGTGGTTTTAGTCGGTAGCAGAGGCGGAGGAATTACTATTAACTTGAACCTCTGTTGGGGCATAATTCCAGCAAGCAAACCCTCGGTGAAGGCAGTGCTCCAGCAACGACCCACAGTGAGGGCACCGACCCAGCAACGCCGTGGCCCTCGGTCAAGGCAATTTGGCAGAGCACGGATCTTCGTATTGTGGTGGTGGTGGAGCTTCACGTCAGTCATGTCTGGCGACACCTATCGACGAACAGCCAGCACATTGCTATCTCTGAACCTCCTTCGCACTTAACGAGCATCAGGCCAGCACCAGTTTCAGTAGGATGAGGGCCATCAGTGTGATTACGTCCCATCTGCCCTCGGTGAGGGCACGGACTGCCCTCGGTGAGGGCCTTTGTTATGGGAGGGGTCGGGGGTTTGGGTGGTGGAGGTGGTATTGGGGGTGGTGATTGGGGGGTCCTTGTTTTGTGCGTACTCGAACGCCCGTTTCTGGGCTTTATCTACGTCCAGCTCTGATTGTCCAAGTTTGTTCGTACTGCACTCTGTCGCACCACGTTGTTATTCTTCGTCGCAGCTGCTTCTCTTAGAGCAGTCTTTGGCATACGAGAGCTCTCGTTGTGGTCTCACCAACGCTACGGTCACGCCCGACTCCAGTTCTTCGATCGCAAGAAGACGGAGGAGGAGGAGGAGGAGGAGGAGGAGGAGGAGGAGGAGGAGGAGGAGGGAGGAGGAGGAGGAGGAGGAGGAGGAGGAGGGAGGAGGAGGAGAGGAGGAGGAGGAGGAGGAGGAGGAGGAGGCAGGAGGAGGAGGAGGAGGAGGAGGAAGGAGGAGGAGGAGGAGGAGGAGGAGGCGGAGGGAGGAGGAGGAGGAGAGGAGGAGGAGGAGGAGGAGGAGGAGGAGGAGTAGGAGGAGGAGGGAGGAGGAGGAGGAGGAGGAGGAGGAGGAGGAGGAGGAGGAGGAGGAGGATGGGGAGGAGGAGGAGGAGGAGGAGGAGGAGGAGGAGGAGGAGGAGAGGAGGAGGAGGAGGACGAGAGGAGGACGAGGAGGAGGAGGAGGAGGAGGAGGAGGAGGAGGAGGAAGAAGGGGAAGAGGAAGGGCGAGGACGAGGCGGAGGAGGGCGCGACGCGGCCTCAAGGCCCTCGCCATGAGGCGGCAGCTGGAGAAGGAGAGGGCGCGGGCGGCGCGCACGCAGCGGACCACCGCCGACGTGGTCGGCAGGACGGCGGCGGCCCCCCCCCCGGCGGCCCCCTCTGCGGCGGCCCTGCGGCGGCGGCGCGGAGGCGTCGCCGTCTTTCGGTGGAGGAAGGGGGCGGGGGAGGAGGAGGAGGTGGAGGAGGAGGAGGAGGAGGAGGAGGAGGAGGAGGAGGAATGAGGAGGAGGAAGAAGAGGAGGAGGAGGAGGAGGAGAAGGAGGGGGAGGAGGAGCAGGGATACTGATGGTGAAGATGATGCTGCTGCTGATGATGATGATGATGATGATGATGATGATGATGATGATGATGATGATGATGATGATGATGATGATGGTGGTGATGGTGTTGATGGTGATATTGGCTGCTGATAATGGCGGCGATGGTGATGGTGATGTTGGTGATAGTGAGGATGATGGTTATGACGATGCCGATGATGGTGGTGATGGCGACGGTGGTGATGCTGATGTTGATGATGGCGATGAGGATGATGGTGATGATGATGATGATGCTGTTGATGCCGATGATGCTGATGCTTGTGACGATGATAATGACTGGTGATGATGATGACGACGATGATAGTGAGGCCGATGATGACATTGATGATGATGATGGTGATGCTGATCGCGATGATGGTGGCGCTGATGCTGAGGACGGTGATGATGCTGATCAGGATGATGGTGGTGATGATTGCGGTGATGCTTATATTGATGGTGGTGGTGTTGGTGATTGTGGTGATTGTGGTGATTGTGATGAGGATGATGATGATGATGGTGATGATGCTGACGCTGATGATGATGACGATGCTGATGATTCTGACACTGATTGGAAGATGGGGATGCTGATGGTGATGCTGATGATGATAATGATGATGATGCTGGTGGTGGTGATGTTGATGGTGGTGATGATGATGACGGTACTGCTGATGACGATGATGATGATGATGATGATGATGATGATGAGGATGAGGATGAGGATGAGGATGTCGCTGCTGAAACTGATGATAATGATGAGGATGCTTTAGATGATGATGATTTTGATGATGACGCTAATGATGTTGACGTTGATGAGTATGCTGCTGATGCTGATGGGGATGATGATGGTGGTGATGATGATACTCGTTACGAGGATCTTGACGCTGATACTGATGATGAAAATTGGGATGATACTGATGATGATGCTGATGATGATGATGATGGTGATGCTGCTGACGATGATGATTATGACGATGATGATGATAGTGATGATGATGATGCTGATGATGATGATCGTGGTGTTGATGGTCATGCTGGCGGTGATGATGCAAAGGTTCCCGATATCTTCACCGATTGTCTCCTCGTCCTGACTTCATCTTACAAGGAGGGTGCGCATCGGAAAAGAGATGGCGGCACAAGCATAAGCTTTCGGAGATCCGCGTTGTTTTTTTGCGTCGGCGCTGGGCCCTCCTCCCATGCGCGCCGAAGGCGCCGCCAGGGAGGGCCCAGCGCCCACCCAAGACAATCTGCGCGACCTCTAGAAGTTTAGTGCTCGTGCTGAACTGCGTGCTTATAGCATACGCCGATGTTTGTTTCGGTATCAAATCACGGGAGCCTTGTGTACCATCGTAACTCTGTTTTTCGCGTCGATTAGCGTCAGGGAGTCGATGAGGTAGCGCCGATTCAGCGTCGGTTAGCGTCGATGTTGCGTCGATTAGCGTCGATTGACCGTCGATCAGCGTCGATTTAGCGTCGATTAGCGTCCACAAGATGGTTCGCAAGGCTTCCATGAGTTGCCACCGAATGTTTGTCACAGGATGAGTCCCTGCCAGGATCGGCACTCCCGCAGCGCTGGCGTCCTCCTTGGACCATCGTCTTCGCCGCACCTCCCTCCCTTCGGGGGATCCCCTCCTCTGCAGCGGCACGCCGAAGGAGTCTGGGGGCAAGAGGGGCGGCCTTGCGAGAGCCGTGAGACCGCCGACGTCCTGATGGCTGCAGCGTGGCTCCCTGGAGGTCTGGACCTGCTCCGTGGGACCGGCACGTTTCCTCTCGAGCAGCCTCTTGGCGGTCCCCGGGCCCGATGGGGGCTCCCGGAAGCGGACCCCTCCGGAGCAGATCCCGTCGCGGTGTCTCCCAACCAGATGTCTTCTGTGCCCAAGCCCACGCAGACGGAGCACACGACACGGAGGCGGGGACCCGCAGGACGCCGCCCTCGCCCTCCTCGCCCTTCGCTGCCTCCTCCTCGCTCGTCGCCCTCCTCCTCGCCCCTCCCTGCCTCGGCAGAGAGCAGGTCTGTGACGGCAGGGGGGCCCGCTCGGAAGCCCTCTCCCGCGCGCCTGCCCGACGAGGCCCTCCTTCTGCTCCTCCTCCTCCTCCTCCTCCTCCTCCTCCTCCCCCTCCTCCTCCCCCTCCTCCTCCCCCTCTCCTCCTCCTCCTCCTCCTCCTCCTCCTCCTCCTCCTCCTCCTCCTCCTCCTCCTCCTCCTCCTCCTCCTCCTCGCCTTCTCTTCCCGCGGCCCCTCCTGCCCCGGCTCGAGCAGCAGCAGCAGCAGCAGCAGCTTTGCGCGGCCGGAGGGGCCCCGTGTCGGGGGCTGCCAGAGGTGCCCCTGGCCCAGGGTGCCCTCAGCCTCGGCCTCGCTCCGACGCGCGCATGTTCTCTCTCGGCGGGGACCACCGAGGAGCATCCCGGACCAGTTCCGAAGACTACGAGCGCGCGACATCGGAGCACACGGCGGGAATGGACGCCCGAGCGATGGCGAGAGGGTGCCCCCAGCGGCCCGCTCCATCCGAGGGCCCCCCGGGGCCCCCGGGGCCCCGCGAGGAGTGCTCCGCGGAGGCGGTGGGGGCCTCCCCGGGCCTCCTGCATGGGGGCACCTCGGGCCAGGGGCACCGCCGGGCAGCACCCGGCCGCTGCCGCCCCCCCCCCCCGCCCCGCGCGCGGCGGGCCCCCGAGGGCCGCGCGAGCCGCGGAGAGGAGGCCCGGTCGGGCTCTCGGAGCCGAGGTCTGCTCCTTCCGAGATCTGCCGCGGGCGAGAGCGTCGTGCACGACGAGGCATGGAGAGGGGGCGCCTTGCCAAAGCCTTCCCAGATGTCGGAGACATCAAGATGTCCAGAGCATGAAGAACACATGCTTTCAAAGCGTTTAAACAACTTTTTCTACGCTTTCAACACTATTCTACATTCAATGATCGGATTGTTGGGCTGCCCACTGCGAGGGCATCCACAGCGAGAGCGGCCCTCCGTGGCGCCGCGGCGATTCTTCTTCGGGGCGCCCATGCTTGGCATCGCCCGGACGTGTGCGTGCTTCTTTCGGCGAGGACCACCGAGGAGCACCCTTGATCATTCGGCGAAAAAGCCACGCACGGAACCGACAAAAAGCACAGGGGGCGTCCTGGCTGGCCGTCTGAGGTTTTGCTTCTCTCGGGCTGGACGAAAGGGGGGGATAGGGAAAGGGGGGGGTTACGAAATCTGCTGCATGCAGCTGGTTTCGGCCCCGCCGCCGGGCCCATTCCTCGATACATGGGCGCCTCCCGGCGCCGGGAGGCGCTGGGAAAATCAGCTACGTGAGCTCATTCTCAAACCCCCCCTTTGCTATCCCCCCCTTTTGCCCGGCCCGATCCTCGCCGCGGGGTGCCCTCCCAGCAGCGGGGCCGCGCCGCGGGCGTTCCGGGGGGGGGCGCTCCCGGGCCGGTCCCGGACGGCCGCCAGAGGCCCGCGTCCTGACCTGGAGGCCCAGCAGGTGGGGGAGGGAGGGAGGGAGGGAGGGAGGGAGGGAGGGATCGGGCCCGACTAAAGTCAGGAGGGGGAAAAACTCACAGACACAATTAATCGTCGATTCCCACAAAATATGCGAGAACATAGGAACTGGGGGGGGGAGACAGAAACCCAGAAGATGTGGGGAAATATGGGAGATCCCGGTTTTTGTGCCTATTTATCTGTGTGTCCTAGGGCCTCTTCAGAAAGGAGGGGATTGGGAAAGGGGGGGGTGCGAAATCTGCTACATGCAGCTGACTTCGGCCCCACCGAGGGGCCCATTCCTCGGTACATGGCCGTCTCCGGCGCCGGGAGGCGCTGGGAAAATCAGCTACGTGAGCTGGTTCTCAAACCCTCCCTTTGCTATCCCCCTCTTCGCCCGGCCCGAAGGGAGTCGGCTGCACGTAAGATTAAGGCGGGCCTGTCCCTCTACAGGAGGAATATCAAAAAGTTGTCAGGAAATCGTCTGGGGACTTTTTTTCTTATATGTTTTTGGTGACCATGTTTGATTTGTTTTGACTATACATCGCCTGTAGGGGGACAGGCCCGACCTAAACGTAAGAGTGGAGACCCATGCCAAGAAACAGTCTGCTTGCCTCCAGGGTGCCCTGGGCTTCTTGGGTTTCGATGGTTTTGCGATGGGAAGCGTGGCGTTCCAACACCAAGAGATCAACGGACGTCCCTTGGTCTCACGGTTGTGTTTCTTGTGGAAGGTCTCTTGTGGACTGGCCTCCACTGTAAAAGTTAGGTCGGGCCTGTCCCCCTGGAGGCCGATTTTCGAGGAAAAATTGAGAGTGATAACACCTAGTCAAAACTAACTAACAACATGCTGGAAAGGTAGTCTCCATATGATTTTTGACGAGTTTTGGATGCTCCCCCTGTAGAGAGACGGGCCCGACGTACTGTAGGAGTGGCCCTTCGCCAGAGCGACCCCGGGCGCGTGCCGGGCTGGGCCCCAAGAGAGGCGCAGGCCGCTGCCGTCGGCGCCGCGTGCAGCGATCGGCGAGCCGCGCGCCAGGGGTCACCTCCTCATGCCTGGCCGAGAGAGCGAGCCTCCTCCTCCTCCTCCTCCTCCGCCTCCTCCTCCTCCTCCTCCTCTCAAGTAACATTTCGGCTTGCAGGTCCGCCAGCGCGTTTCTGCATACCGAAAGTCCCAGGGTCGGCACCACAACTGGTGCTGTGCGCAAGCCCGCGTGCAGCACACTTTTGTTCCGACTTGAGGGGTGGCTCTGACGAGCCAGCGATATCCCTGGGATTGAATATTCTCTCTGGCCAGCTGCTCCGTCGTGGGGACGCTGGAGCACGGCCAGAACAGCGGCTACGACATGGCCCGCCCAGGGTCCAAGGGTCCGAAGGGCAAGCCCCGTTCACCGTCGCCAGCCAGCAGGCGCAAGAACGACTATCTGGTTTGTCCTCAGTGCCCTCCTGGTACCAGCTGGATTTGGAAATCCCAGGCGCTCAAACCAGGACGTGAGAAATGTAACAAGTGTGGCATCTTCGACTGGACTTCTCTCCTTCGCCCAGGATCCGTGGTGCGCTTCCAGCTGGACACAGCGCCCGTGGACCCCGCCGTCGCCGCCACCATGCAGAAGGCAGTGGAAGCCCTCAAAGAAAAAGGCGACGAGGAGGGAGCTCGAATGCTGGCAGAGAAGTTCCCAAGTGCCCCAGCGCCCAGTCAGCCACCAGCCAAGCCCACGACCAAGCAGCTGGAGGACGCAGCCGCTACCTTGCGCCGACTCCAAGGCCAGCAAGCGCGCCTCAAGTCCCAGCTCCAGCGAGCAGCGGCCTGGCAAGACGAATTGGTTGAGAAGCTCACCAGAAACATCGACGAGACCCAGCAGGTATCATCAGAAGTGGAACGCCTTTTCAGCTCTTCTTCGGGCCAGTAGGGCAGAGCAGAGCCTCCATCACCTGCTCCGACCGCAGAGGAAGGCGATGATGAGTTCCCCGTTCTGGAAGAAAGCGATTTGGCTCTCCTTGCCCCTGAAGAGCGCGCAGCCTATGATCAAGCGAAGTCAGTTCACGAGCAGGCCAAGCAGGCCATGGAGAACCACCGCCGCACTGGAGCGCAAGCTTGTGACGCAGTCGCCACAGCCAAGAAGCACCGCGAGACCATCACCCTCAAGAAGCGCAAGAAGGATGAAGGAGATCACCGCGGTGCCCCTGCAGCCACTGACGCTGTCCAGAAAGAAGAAGCCGCTGCTCCAGCGCCAACAGCCAACAAGTACGATTTCACGATGCAGAGGAGGTCAAGCGATTCGTGGACGAGAAGACCCGTGTTCTTGCAGCTCAAGTGGCAGCCACCAAGGGCGCGGGCATGGGCACGAGTCAGCAGTGCTCCTGACCCGCGCTTCCAGCGCCTGGCGACGCGCGACCTGCGCGTCTTCTATGCGATCATCAGCAACTTCTCCTACGCCGTCCGTGAGTTCTGCAGGGATGCGCCATGCGACTGCATGGGGTTTGTGGAAACCCACCTGTATGGCAAGCAGCTAGAGGACGAGCAGCGGCACCTCAGAGGCATGGGGTGGCGCACTGAGTATACTACGACACCAGCCACGCCGACGTCGGGAAAGGGCAGCTCTGGGGGAGCTCTCTGGGCGCGCGCGAGGCAGCTCAACACCTTTTCCGCATCTTGCCACGGGGGGTGGCGATGACCTTCTGCGCCAGCAGCTCCATGACATTGCAATCGCCATGGTCCGCCTCAAGCACGTAACGGTCGCTTTCATCACTATCTACCTCACCTCGGGCCCCAGAGGGCTGGATCTCCCTGCCAACATCGCCAAGCTCGACCAGCTGCTCACGCTCGCGCGCGCGCTGGGCACGCCGTGGATGGTCTACGGCGGCTTCAACAACACTCCAGAGCAGTTCAGGGCCTCGCGTTGGCACGAAGCTTTCGCGGCTGAGTATCTCCAGCCCAACTGCGAGTTCACCTGCGCGGGAAGCTCAGGGCGTATGATAGATTGGGGTCTATGTTCGCCAACGTTCCTGCCGCTCGTCAAGTCCGTCGAGCCTGTCTATAATGTTCCGTGGCAGCCGCGCGTGGGCATTGAGATCCGAATGCGCTCGAGGCTTGCCGCTGTTCTGTGCACTCGACCTCTCCTCCCAGCTCCCATTGAGATCCCAGACCGCGAGATCCATATTGAGAAAGGGCTCAAGAGGAAGCAGAATGATCGTCACCGCCATGCGCAGCTCCACCATACTGAAGATGGCGAAGTATTGGAACACGGCGGCGATGTGCATGACCACCTGCTGCAAGACCATTACGTCAAAACGGTGCCGTACATCGTCGACCACGAAGCCTGGGAGAACTACAAGCACCAGGTCCAGGACATCCCAATCTTGGAAGCCAGCTCGGAGACGCAGCAGCGCATAGCCTACGCACTCGATCCAGCTGCTGCTAGCGACCTTGCGGAGTCGTATGGCAGATGGGCCATGGCCGCGGAGGCCTCTCTACTCAACCTGACGGATGCCATGCCGATCAGCGACGAGCGCCGTAGAGGACAACCGCTAACCTATCGGCTCGAGCAGATGATACGCCAGCCTGACCCCACGTACATCCAAGCAGGCACCAAGCAGCTTGAGACCAATGCCTGGATCAGCCTCACCAGCCAGCTCCAAGTCCTCGTCAAACAGTGCGAGCGGCGCCAATCGCAGAGCGAAGCGAACTTCGGCACCATCAGGCCCAAGACTGTTGACCAACGAGACCACCAAGCTGCCGACGCTCTACTGGATGACCCTATTGCGCGCATGGTGGCACGCGCGCCGTCTTACCAGTGCTACCCGTGGACTGACATCCCTTTCGGCAGCCGGCTACAACTTCCAGACCAAGCCGTGTCTCCAGCTCCGACGTGCACAACACCGTGCCCAGCCGTCACCAGCATGGGCGACGAAGAGGCTGACCCCTTCGACGCGATCAACTACGACGTCGACTGCTTTGACTACCTGGAGCTGCTGCAGCGCGAGCCTGAGGAGCCAGGCGGGCCGCATCCTCTACCACGAGGACGTCTGCGAGACGCAGAGCGGCCAGAGCACTCTAATATCGGATGCTCGCTATCGCGCCAAGCTCCGAGAGTTGCCAATGTTGCGGAAGTCTTGGGTGGGTCTCTTGGGCATCTTGGGAGTAAGCCTCAAGAGGCTGAAAGGGGCCCTGGGGGGTCGGCGTCGGAGCCGTGCCCGTTGATATCGCTGCCGACGACCGTGAACCCTCGGGTCCCGCGT